ATGTATATATATATTTATTATAATATATATATTATATATATATATATGTATATTATATATATGTATATATTATATATGTATATATATATATATATATGTGTATATATGTATATATATATATATTATATATTATTATATATATTATATATAGATAGATATAGATATAGATATATATACATATATATATTTATATATATTATATATATATATATACATATATATAATATATATTATATATATAGATGATAGATAGATATAGATAGATAGATAAATAGATAGATATAATGTATGTATGTTGATACCAAATACCAAATATTTAACCAAACAAATCCTTTCCACAGCCAAAGACTATGAACTAGAGAGGAGTAGCATAGACGTTGGGGAGATCATTGGTGAGGGGCAGTTTGGTGATGTGCCATACCTATGTACAGAGCCCGTGACGGTTCCAATGTTCCAGTGGCCATCAAAACATGCAAGGTGGAGTCCGAGGGAACAATGGCTGAAAAGTTCTTGGAGGAAGCCTGTGAGTTGTGCATTTTGTGTGGTGACTTGCTTTGTAACATTTCACTTTATGATGATGGACCTTTGATAGAGGGATAACAAAACTGTATCCTTAGTTATATTTATGTGATATATTCTCTATATATATTGTATATTATTTTTATGTGTGTGTTTGTGTATACATGAATACATGCACTCATGTTTGTATAAATATGAGCATATGTATGTAATTAGACATACTTCTTTTCTTCCAACAGATATTATGCAACAGTTTGACCATCCATACATTATCAAGCTCATAGGTATATGCTCAGACTCTCCCATTTGGATAGTAATGGAACTTGCCCGATACGGAGAGATGCGAGCGTATTTACAAAACAACAAGGATAGATTAAGTCTGGCCACCCTAGTCCAATATGCCTTTCAGCTCTCACAGCTCTCTCGTACTTAGAGAGCAAGAAATTTGTACACAGGTAAGTTCTGACATCTGGTTTTGCACTTCTTGGTTATATTGATTACTAATTTTTGACGTATGACCTGAAGAAAGAACTTTTAGCAAGGTAGCAAAGTTTGTGTAATCCATTTGGTTTAATCCAGTGACATGCATCCATGATATTTTTTTATCTACAGGGATATTGCCGCCCGAAACGTATTAGTTTACTCCCATGATTGTGTTAAGCTGGCAGACTTTGGTCTGTCTCGGTGGGTTGAGGAACAGAGCTACTACAAGGCCAGCAAAGGGAAGCTACCCATCAAATGGATGGCTCCTGAGTCAATAAACTTTAGGAGATTTACCAGCTACAGTGATGTTTGGATGTTTGGTATGTTCTCATATTTCTTGTGTTTTGGTTCTACATGTTACGTGCATATTGGTACTAACAAAGATCATTTTTTGTTTGTAAGGCTAATTGATATGTTTTATTACAAACATATCTTGAATTATGAATTATTGTATTTTTCAATGCAGTTCTTCCATTTACAAAACTACTAAATAGGAAACATAATTGTTGAATCCACATGCCAACAAAACTGCTTTCACAGGTGTATGTATGTGGGAGATTTTGATGCTGGGAGTCAAACCGTTCCAAGGAGTCAAGAATAATGATGTAATCAAGCGAATTGAGAATGGCGAGAGATTAGCTCTCCCTCCCAACTGCCCTCCCCGACTCTACTCCCTGATGTCTAACTGTTGGATGTATGAGCCCATGAAGAGACCGACGTTTAAACACATCAAAGAAGACTTAAGGTATGTTGCAATATTCTTCCTTTTTCATGGTAAAAGTTTTAAAACCTTTTACTTTTCTTTTAGTTTTCATGAAATGACATTCTTTCTTGTTATTCTGTAGTATTTATTTCAAAGTCTCATATTGGAAAAAAATATATTGTTTGCCCATCTTTTCTACAGTGAGATTCTCAGAGAAGAGAGAGCGCAGCAACACGAAACCATGAGAAGAGAAAACAGACGAGTTCAAGGCATGTCTTGGGGTAAGTATATTGTTATTCTTTCTTCATATATTCTCTTCTTGAAATTACATATTGAAAATTCAGGTGAATTTGTTCCTTGGAATCTTTGAAGTGAATTTTATCCCAAACAAATCAGTCAGAATTTGTTTTTCATTTTATTTAAACTAGTTATGCTATTCTTCTGTTTTAAGATTATTGAAGATTATTATTTGAATCAGGCAGGCTTTTAAGAGACATAAGAAATTATAAAATCATTTCATGTATTAATTTGTATTTGTTTCTTTCTCATAGGTTCTGATGAACCTCCACCCAAACCATCGCGAGTCCCAATGACGTCTGGTGGCCGTGGACACACCGCCACACCTCCCCCACCTTCTGGTTCAGGCCTTGGCTCCCCACCTCTCTACGCTCCCTCGCAGGTCAGTAGCAGTGGCCCAACCACCTACATCGTCGCCCAGAACCCTGAAGTGCTCAGTCAGCTGATGCGAGACAACCACAACCGGGCAGCCAACGCTCCCGGCTCCTACAACTCCCCAGCCTCAGTGCTCAACACCCTCCCCGTCGACTTCCTTACATCCCCTCGTTCCCCTCC